TAGACTAGATTACAAAATTTGCGTTGAAATCTAGCAATTTTTATTTCTCTAAAAATTGATAAATAAAAGAAAATCATCAAAAAAGTCAGCGTCTAGCTACAAACATATCAATATGAAACCACCATACGATCTAAAAAATTGACCCATTTTAATAAGTTGTGACTCTCTGACGTCTCATTTAAGCTGACATCTGTACTTAATTTTATTTTACTTATAGTGAAGTAACATAAAACTTATATAAAAGACAATTAGGTTTTATTCCCAGAGACATTCAGAGATATTTCCCAGAGAAGTGCATTTAGATAGTATTATACTAAAGTTTAACGTTATAAACCTCTACAACTATCATTTCCATTAAACTTGGTTTACAAGCTTTGAAAATCTTTCTTGAAAAACATAAATCCAACAACTGAACATTAAGATCTAATATCCAAACAATTTACCCTTCGTTTTCTTCATTATTATTTTTTTTTTAATAATTTCTTTTTTTTATGACTTTTCTTATGATTTTTTTTATTATTATTATTATTCAAAATTACAGGTACAGCCGTGAGCACAGTTTTTTTACCAGACTATATAGGTCTTTGATTGGCTTTTTAGAAAAAGTAATGATTTTGCAAAAATAATTTTCTACGGAATTTCTCAAAAGACATAATGCAAAATATTAAACAATTGTATTTCAGATATATTATTTATATATCTGAAATACAATTGTTTAATATTTTGGGTAATATTATTAATGAGGGCTTTAGGGTAATATTATTAATGAGGCATTTAGGGTAATATTAATAATGAGGGCTTTAACATATAGCAAAAACAATTAGATTTAAACCAATTTAAAATATCACTCGCTAAATTAAATAATTCAATTGAATTTAAAATAGACTGTCGTCAAAGACATTGAAAAAAAAATATTTTTAAGATTTAATTAATTTTTAGGTTTTCCGGTAATTCTTCCGGTAATTCTTCCGCTAAATCTTCCGGTAATTATTTAAAATATGTTCAAACTGGCATAATTTAAAATGAAACAAGGATTTGTGATTGTTTAGATTAAAATAGTCATTAGTCATTCTTCATGACAATTAATAACTATTATAATGGCATTCATCAGGCATGATGCTGCCGTTAATTTAAAAAGCATAACTGCGATTATAACATCTAATTAAAAACGTTTAGCAGAACTAAAATTAGGGCCTAAAGTGCAAGCCTATCCTAACTAAAACCTTTTGTTTTATCTTATCTACTAATGAGAGAATAAAAGAAGTGTTTTCCACAAACACTCGATAATTAGCTTACAAACTATATTATTTCCAAAATATAACAAAAATAAACGATTTCAAAACTTTTAATGGAGGAGGGGGGGGATCTGCCCTTGGCTTATATTCGCCAGTTTTACACCAACTAATGATACTATTTGGAACATTAAAAGTCACATCACTTTTAACAACAAAAATGCGATTATTTATAAAAAATGATTATCATATTATCTGAATTAACCGGAAAAACAAACAATTTGAAAAGTCTTACAAATGATCATATTTCCTGTTGCAGAATTTGTAAATCAGCTACAGATTTGATAACAATGTATATAGTTGCCAACAGTTCGATAATAAAGTTGTAAAACTGTTCTTTCAGTTTTTTGTTTTTTTTTTTGAAACTTGATTATGAAAAAAATTGTTTTATAAAAATCATTTACACTTGCAATTACTTTTGTCGTGTAAATGCTTTTGTCATTTAGATGGAACTTAATACTTTCTTTACTTAACTTTTCTTTGTAAAAACATTAAAAATTTGGAAGTATTGCAGCAATATCAATAAATATAGCAGCAATAATGTAAAATGTTTTATAGTAACATTTAAACTATCACTGCTTTTTACATTAGTAAAACTTTAGAAAATAAAAACTGTTCTCATTATATATACATATATATATATATATATATATATATATATATATATATATATATATATATATATATATATATAATATAAATATATATATATATATATATATATATATATATATATATATATATATATATATATATATATATTTATATATATATATATATATATATATATATATATATATATATATATATATATATATATATATATATATATATATATATATATATATATATATATATATATATATATATATATATATATATATATATATATATATATATATTATATATATATATATATATATATATATATATATATATATATATATATATATATATATATATATATATATATATATATATATATATATATATATATATATATACAAGGCCGGCGCGATAGGGGCGCCATAAAAATAAATACATGATGAATAACTTTAATGGCATCAAAGAAAACACAGTATTTTTAATATATATTTTAATATATCGCTGTTTACGTGAAACTACGAGTAATGCTTTAAATAAATTGAGTGTTATAATATAAATATATATATATTTATATTATATTATATTATATATATATATATATATATATATATATATATATATATATATATATATATATATATATATATATATATATATATATATATATATATATATATATATATATATATATATATATATATATATATATATATATATATATATATATATATATATATATATATATATATATATATAGGGAAAAGCGGGGCAACATGCCAAACGTTTTGAAAGCCCTGAGTTATTGCAAAACTATCAGTTGTGAAGCAATAATACTTTCTGAGTATGTTTATGTTATTAAAATGATTTATTGCCAGCATGAATTTTTTGTTTGCAAATATAACAATTTAAAACAAATATTAAAATAAAAAGTTCATAAATTTGTCATCTGGTCACGTGACCGGGGCAAGATGACTTATTATTCAATTTTTACCTCCAATTTTATAAAATTTTAAAAACTACCAATAAGTCTAACTAAAGTAACAAAAATAAACACAAATCACTAAAAACTACTTCTAAAGAAGTTAAACTTGAAGGACACTATCCGTTATGAGAAACCGAAAGTGAGCAATTTTTTTTTAGGCGCAAAAAGTAAACTTATGCGTATAAAATTGCGTTAATAATATTTCAAAAAACCAATTAGTGTTTTAAAATGCAAAACGCAAATACAGTTTTGTTTTCACCCAATTTAAAGATTTTTTGTTGAGTTGTTATATGAAAACCCATCTTGCCTCATTCGCCATGTTGCCCCGCTTTACCCTATATATACATATATATATATATATATATATATATATATATATATATATATATATATATATATATATATATATATATATATACACTACTAGTATATATATACATATATACTAGTATATATATACATATATACTAGTATATATATACATATATACTAGTAGAAATCGCTTATCAAATTTTTAATTTACAAAATGATTTATTAATAAAGAATCTCAAAAATGAACGCTAAAATAACAAACTTCAATTTATTCCAAAGATTAAATTACAGGAAGTCATAAATGTCTTAACTACTTTAATTTCTCATACATTTGTAGAATTACACACGTATGTGGAATATGTTAACATCGCTTAAAAAAAATTGTTTTTGTTTGCTTATACATATATTGAGAATATTTAGTATAAATTTTTTGCTCACTTTTTTTATAGTTTTTTAAGAGAAAATTCTTTTGCATTTTTATAACAATTCCATTTTTTTTAAATATAATAAACCATTAGTGAATTAATAAATTCTTAGTTTGCACGTGTAGCTATGTCCCTTTTTTTTGTAAGCATAATATTTATCTTCTAAAAGTATAACATATACCTTCTGGAAGTGTAATATATATTATACTTCCTACATATTGTAGGAAGTATGAATAAAAATTGTAGGAATTTGATATAAATTTATAATTTTGTCTTTCAGTTTGACAGCCTTGTATCTTTTAAATATTTTTTATTTTTCAAGGATTGCTTACAGTTTACCCAATATACTGTTTATCAGGTACATTTAAAATTCTTAAATATTAGCAAAAAATAAATTGTATTTCAGTTAAATATTTTTTTTTTTTATTATCAACCAACTTCAAAAATCGATTTTTCTATACTTGTGGAACATTTTTGTTATATGTTTCTAGTTTTATTAATTTTTTTCTTACGCAAAAATCTCGAGTTTCAGTCCAAATTTCTTCTAATTGTTTATTTTAATTCTTATACAAAAACTCCGGCGTGAAGTTTTTTTCACGCCGGAAAATCTTTAGTCTAAAACAAAGAATTTTCCGCTTATGCAGGGAGGATCAATTTATTTTAGAATACAACTTTAAATAAGTTATAGTTTGATGTAACACGTCGCGTCACTTTCATCATTAAAGATCGCGTTCATTCAATAAATATTTCGAAAGAAATTTAATTATAGATTTTTTACTTAATAAATAATTAAAATATGAGTAAAACTTACACTAATAATTATAACAACTATAATTTATGTATACGATAAATATAAACCTATCTTATCTGGATAAGATGGGCGGTTTTTAAAATATTTTTAAACTTTAACAATATGCAGTTTTAATTATGTAATAATTATAATGAAAGAGTAAAACCTATATTAATAATTATAAAAGCTATATGTATATAATATGATAAAAATAAACATATCTTATCTGGATAAAATGATGGTTTTAAAGTTATTTCCCTCATACAACCATTTAATGAATAAAACTAATAACATTAATTCTAACAATATGAAAAAAGTTTCTGGATAAGCTACCCTAAACGTTTCTGGATAAGCTACCCTAATAAACAGCCTAGCTAATAGTTGCCCTTTTACAAACAAAGCATAATTAACAAAAGCAGCATGTATGTTGGGATAACATACAAAGGGATCGCAAAAAATGTCTATAAGCAAAAAAAATATATAAATTTTTGCACGTAATACCTGGGGTTGTTTACATGGACAGACTTATCCATATAAGAAATTATATTACTAAATCATTGGTGACTTAACATTCATTTTAAGGATTACAACAATTTAAATAATAACAATTTTATATTAAAAAGATTTACAATAGGCTTTATTAAAATTTAACAAGTTACAAAAATTTGTAAGTTCATTAAATAAAAAAGAAGGACATAACAAAAGATTTGAAACCAGATTATGATAAATGCCTTAAAAAGTTAAATGAGAACATAAAAAAGAAGATCTAACACAAATTATTAAAATTATGTAATTATAGAATACAAATAAGATATAATTAAAGTTAAAAAAAAAAATTGAACTAATTTAATTAATTTACAGAGTTTTTTCTTCGGGCTAACTGTCTTTGAGCAGAAGCAAGAACAATGCGACCACAAATATCATCAATCTGTTGTTGAATTTGATCATATGTCATACCATCTTTTTTTGCCATTACAATTTGTGATAACTTTGTTCGGTTTATCAAGATGTTAATTTGACATCGAATCTTGTTTATGGTTTCTTTTAAATCATGATAAAACTCTCCATGTCGAATAAAACTATAATCTAAACCATTCAATGCTTTCATTACCTGCTTTAAAATAAACATGTATTTGTTGACATTAGCTTTGTTTTTTTTAGCAGAGATTATTAATTCCATACAGTTTTGAAGAGAGACAGTGACTGACATGCTCGCCATTTTCTTTGATTTTATTTTAAATAAGCTTAAAATTTATGAAATTGTACCAATACTTTGTTATAGGTAATTGAATAACAACGCAAAGCAGTTAAGACTACTTTAGCTGTGTATATTAGATAAGCTTTTCCCAATACCAAGAGTTCTATTATTGCAGTTTTTTTCAAATAATTAGAATTATTTGGTAAAAACTATATTTAGTTTATCCCATTCAAGTAAACGAAAGTTAGATGTTTTGGTTGGTATTATATTTAAGACAGATAATGAGAATAAGTCAAAATACTTTTCCTTGGCCTGTATTGGTATGTAAATATTAGTCTTCTAGCTACCGTCGTCAAAAATCTTATAGATCAATAAGCACAGAACACATTGAATTTTGTTACTGTTGAATCGGCGGTATTCTCTGTTATAAAGGTAAACCATCAGGTAGGATAGTCACAAAAACAACAACCTTATGAACTAACTCTCTACTAACTCCTTGCAACGCGAACTAAAAATTTAAATTTGTGAGTCTTTATAAAACGCCATTATTATATACTTTAGAAAACATTTTTTGATTGGTTAAAACAAAGTCTAAAATGCCGAACAGAATATTGTTGAATATTTTGTGTCTAACTGAAAACCCCAAAACGTCTTTCATCGTGTTAATAGGCATGTTTACTACACGTGATAGAAAGCGCTTGTTGTTAGCAACTTAAAAAACAAATAAAAGTTAATTTAGTATTTTTTTTAATTTTAAAACAAGTATATATATATATATATATATATATTATATATATATATATATATATATATATATACAAATAAATATATGATTTGTAGATGCAGCATTCGATATACACTGTTAACGTCATACTGAGATGTATAGTTGCGGGGCTTCAGTACATACATTGACTGACTAAATAGGAAGTACATGCAAGTAGCGACTAAGGGTTAGTTTGGGCAGCAATCTTTTTTTTGTTGTTATTGTTAATCTTCTTTTTTTTTCTAAAAAACTAAAGTGTACAAAATATATTAGGGAATCGTGGCCTTATTACTATATATATATATATATATATATATATATATATATATATATATATATATATATATATATATATATATATATATATATATATATATATATATATATATATATATATATATATATATATATATATAAACATGTATTATTTTAACTTATACATTTTGTCGTTTTGTTTTAAGCTCGTTGTTGTATACGTGCTGTTCCAATTGCTAAATTTCACCTGTTTTTTCCGTATTGATTAATTGCTTAAATTTCTATATATATATATATATATATATATATATATATATATATATATATATATATATATATATATATATATATATATATATATATATATATATATATATATATATATATATATATATATATATATATATATATATATATATATATATATATATATATATATATATATATATATATATATATATATATATAAAATATATATATATATATATATATATATAAAATAATATATATATATATATATATATATATATATATATATATATATATATATATATATATATATATATATATATATATATATATATATATATATATATATATATATATATATATATATATATATATATATAAGGCGTTGTCAAATCAGTTTTATAAAGTATTGTTAGGACATTTATTTAATTTTTTTTTTTTTATAATTAACTACTAAAATAAAATTATTATATTATTGTTTGAAATACTTTTTCCAGACATTTAAAAACAAACATCGATAGAAATATGACTAGGTTACATTTTTATTATTTAATGTAAACAATAATATTTTTTCTTATAAGTTTTTTTTGATAAGCTACGTCAAATTTAATATTTTATCTTCGCTGAAAATGGTAAACTTGAAATTATTACTAACGATTTAGTATATAGATACAAGATTGTATATCAATAAACAATATACTATCAGACTTATATAATATTGTATTGTAATTTGTTTTATACTATCGTGTAAAATATTATATTAAATATAAATGTTGGCTTCTCGTTTTTCAGCGTGCAAAAACTAAACAAATGGATTACTTTTTTTAAAAAATCAAAATTAACATTATTACCATGGTATTAACAATTTTCTGTGCAGTTTTTAATAACTTCAAATTCTATCACTAGAATTTTAAAAAGTCAAGCAAATATATTTTTTATATAAAATTTTATAAATAAAAACTTTTTATAATTTTTAGCAAGAATTAGTATAGCTTTTTTTGGATTTTTCTTAAGAACAACATTGTTTTAAACAGTTAACGTAACAGTAGTCATAAAAGTTATTATATTTGTGTAAAACATATATTATTAATAGATTGTTCTTCGCAGTTTTTTTACAACACTGATTTTGTTTTATCCTTTTATAAATGATTTTATTACCACCTCTCATTCTAAAAAGTTACTCCCTTTTACCCTAAAAAATTGTTTTTAATATTCTTAATAAACTAAAATCTAGTTGCAAAAATGAAGTTTATAAAATCAATTTAAAACAAAGTAAACTGTTTTTACATAATATGTAATTAATTATTATACACATTAAATGTGTATAATACTTCAAATTGTTAAAATATTATGCTTATTCTTAGTCTAAAGTCTTACCAACTTTGTTTACTTATTTTTGACGCTATCTGTTTTGTAATCTTTTTTCTTTAATTTAAAAACTATAGTGTATAAACCAATTAAAGGAAGGTGTGCCGAGTTTTTGTTGTATTTAAATCAACAACAAGATAGCGCCACAGAAATTTAATTCTAAAATAAGATTTTTATAGATATTATATATTTGAATTTATTGAGTTTTAGTAATCTTTGTTATCTAAATACAAAGCGTACAACAAGTTATCTGTCTATGATTTAAAGATAAAAAAACTTCTTGTAAAATATTCGGTTTCTTATGAGATATTAGATTATTTTTCATTCAAATTGCAGGTTTTTCTTGTTTTTCACCAGTGGGCAATTGGCTGAATAGCTAGCGACGTTCAGGGGCTATATTCTTATCTCTGTTAAACTTAAGTTTAGTCTAAAGTTTGTCTTTAACTTTAATAATAGTAACAATAATAAATGAAATAAGAAAAATATAAACAAATAAATAAAATTTCAAAAAAAAAATTTTAATAAAATTTTGTTAAAATTAAATTGCTTTATTTTAGTTTTTATTTTATTTATTTTGTTTTTATTTTATTATCAAATTTATTTATTTGTTCCTATTATTTTTTTTTTTTTTTTTTGATATTTTACTTAAAGAATAAAATTTCTTTATTTAAGTAACTAAAATAAAATTTCAAAGTTAAGCTTAACGCTTGGTTAAACTTAACGGCAAGATATTAGTATGGCTGCAGAACGATAAAGAACTTACTATAAAAATTGCAAGCTTTATCTGACTAGCGACGAGTCGCAAGAAATAAAGTTACAACTATGTAAACAAAAATGTTGATAAGAAATTGGTAGCAAAAAATTATTAAGTATTTTCATGGAAGAGAAACGAGTAAATCCAATAATAATAACATCAATGATAAAAATAATTAAGGAAAAAAACACAATAAAAAACTCGTAAAAACCATAAAAATAAACTAGAACACGATTTCATCGCCATGTACAAGTATGATTTTATAATTAAAAGTTTATTGACATTGAAATATTTGTTATTAGGCGTTAAATAGTTTCTAGTTAAAAGTTTTGGTGTTTTCATATCACATATTTAAACTGATTTTAAATTTTAAACTTCTGTTTTGTTCTTGTTTGAATCTTATTTTAAATAATATTGAAGCTACCATCTATCTTGTATAAATACTTTATAATAAAAAATATTGTAGAATGACAACGTTTTGTTTTGTCACCAAGTAAATTTTTGAAAATTTTTGAATATAATAATTGTGACTAAGCAAACATTATTATACAGGGTGGCGCAAAATTAATATCATTATTAGAATTGGCTGCCATTTCTGTAGATGGCGCCAAATGTGACTGTGCTTTGACATTTGTTGTCAACAAGCGATGGAATGATACACACCTCAAGAAAGTGGGTTTATTGTTACTGCTTATTTGACAAACTTTCAGTCTGTTGTTTTAACGCGAGGTAAATTTTATCGTTATTTTCCCTGTCGTTGTGTTCCATGTGCTCAAACATTTAAGCGTTTAGCTGAGCACCTCGTGCAAACTGGGTTCACTATAAGTATCGCAAAAAGTGGCCGGCCTCCTTGCGCTTGTTTGAACGCAAACACTGCTGCTGTTTCCGACAAAATCCATAAATCAACGAGACGACAATGCAATTATGCATTAACTTGAGAGGCCATTTGAATAAGTGATATAATTTTTTCCAAGTAATGTAGCAAATTAAACACGTTCAAAAAAGCTTTTGATGAAGACAGAGCTATTTTTTTAATTTCTAACAAAACTGCATCCGATTCAAGTTATAACGTAACTTTAACAACACTTTGTATCTTATATGCATCTTTACACTAATGCATTTTAAATTTAGCACATGCGTGTTGAAATTTCATACAAGAAAAAGTATTAAGCTAAATGATGTAGCCTTTATTTGATGAAGAGTTACCAAAGTAAATATATATTGAAAAAAATAATAATTTTCTTTTGCTGTTTGGTTTTAACTACTTTTAATTTAGAAAGATAACGAAATTTCTAAATAATATAGTATTGGTCCCTAATTATGGAATTAAATAAAGAAGTTTGAAAGTCTTTCAATGTTAATTGCTTTAATATAGCACAGTTTATTAAAACATTAGCAAATTTGAAATATATAATTTTTTTTTCTCCCTTATAGACAATAAAAAATGCGTTTTATAGTAACGGACGTTATATGATGGTATAATTCATCAAAAAAAGTGATCTTGTTAAATAAAGTGTTGTGTGCTTTTTTTGTATTTATATTTTATTCAATAAATTTTTTGTGAAAATATATTTTGCACAACAGTATTTTATTTATATTGGACAATTTTTTTTTTTCAAAAAAAAAAAAAAAAAAATTAAAATACGATTTTTTATTCCTCAGATATGAATGTTTAAAAGCTTAAGTCACTTATAGCTTAATAATATATTTTATAGCTTAACAATATATATTGATAAAAACAGCATTTATAATCAAAATGACAGATTTAATATTTGTTATTAACATACCTCTTTAAATAGTTATTTATAATCGATTGTATATAATTGCTTTGGCTACTTGGTAATAAAAATTTTAAACTTTTGATTTCATATCCGTAATTGTAAAAATTTTAATCTAAGTAAAGGTCTCAATTTTAGATTAAAACAGTTTAAAATCATTTTATTACATATAATTAGTATATTAGTATAATTATACAAATTATCATTATGATTTACATAAAAAGTAAAAAAAAATTATATGTTTAAAATGATACGCCTTCGTGAGAATGAATATCACGCAAACGGTAATCTGACGACTCAATCAAACATCATTCTCATAATAAGAAGAAAACTTCCATCGTTTACTTTATGAAGTTTTAGTTGAAAACTATGAAAATAAACTATAACATAAACTGATATCAGTTTACCGAGAATAAAATGTATGTTAACTTAAAAATAACACGCAGATAAAGGCTTTACTTTGTTAAACCAGTGATATTTTCAATAAAGTTAAGTAGTTTCGTTAATTAGAGTAAAAACTGAAATAGAATTGAATATCAGCACCAGATGCGATTATAGAAATAAAATTATGGAATATTACTGAACAAAAAACTATTAAATATTAAAAAAAAAAAATTTATACAATGAAATTTTTGTTTTTTCAATTTTATTTACAAACTTCTTGCTTTATTGTTGGCGAAAATTTCTGACCACAAAACTAGTCACGTGCTTCTTGCTTGTTCCATTTGCGTAGCTAGGGTGGGGCGCTGTGGGCGGGTCTCTGTTGACAGCACTTTTTTAGGGGCGGCAAATAAATTTATTTTAAAATATTATAAAACTTTTCTGTTTTGCATCTCTTTCCCAATACTACAGGAGAACAATATAAAACAGAGTCAAAGATGATAGAGTGAAGAGGTGCTGAGTGGAAGCACATAAAAGAATGATCAAAATACTCTAACCTAATTTCACAACAAATAAGTAAATTGATGCGTATGTGTACTCCCAAGCCAAGCATATGATTATTGGTGTCTTTGCAAATCAAAGGATAGTACCCATCAACATTGAGATTAGAAGAAGAAATAGTAGAATTTAAATTGGTCTCACTAAGAGCAAGCAAGTCTGGTGAGTTTTACAAGCGGCAAAATTAAACTGATGCAAGGTTGCT